AGAGTAGAGTAACTATGCATAGGATTGAACCGTTAGGGTAACCTATAATGGACTATTGTCAAGAAGAACATTAAGAACATTCTGAAGCAGTGCACAGCAAGCATTTATTATTAAAGAGTCACACTGCATCAAAATAGCAAGAGATAAACAAAAAGGAAAAAATGCGTATAAGAAAGTCTGTGGGACAACCAAAATGATATAGCATAACATTAATGCTAATTGGCATTTCAGTTCGAAGATCCATAATAAAGTTTCAGTAAAGCAAAGACTGGTTGTGGTAAGACTTTTATTAGGAAGTGGCACACATAAGATGTCATAATCAGTAATGCGTTTACACAGGAACACCCCACAGAATTGTTTTAGGGCACAGGAATAAATCTGCACATGGTTCTCACCTTACCTCCATCATTTCCCTTTTGATAAAGCATCTCAAAGAAGCCCTCTGGCCCTACCAAATCTTTTCATGTCATTGCCTTCACACACTGTTTATTCTAGCATGCCACCTTTTCCCCTAGTATACCTGTAATTAAAGATTTCTTGTTGAAGAGCCATACATGGTTCCATACTGAACCAGGTTTGGCGCTAGAACAATCTGTTGCAGACCCTTTCTTGAGGGAAAGTGATCTTCTCAATGTTCTCTACCACCTCACTGGGACTTTTTAAATCAGGCATGGGATAGTAAGAAGAAGGGTGAGAGGGAATAGAGTGACTCAGCAGATACGTGTCTGATATGGCTGTTGTCTAACCACAAGAGTTTCCAGTATATCTTCTAGAACAGAAATTTCTCAATTACAGAAGCTGTGTTTAGTATTTCCACTTTCTGGAATCATTTCGCTGTCTTGCTGAATTTAACAGAATGTACATTTTTGCACTTATTTCAAATACTCCTTTCCTTTCCCCAATGATTTTACATGCTTAAAAATACAACCAGGATTTTGTTTTTGAATTATGAAGGAATATTTTGAGTGGTGCAATGGGTATTATAGAATACAAGTGGGGGCCCATCTCCCCCTAGGGCTGCCAGATCTCCCAGCCTCCAATCTGCTGGCCCAGATCTGGCCGGAGTGGGGAACCCCACCCTCAAAGAGCCTCATGTTCTCCGATGTGCCCAGTATGATGATGTCACCTCGAGGTTACGTCATCACACCAGGCACATTGCAGGGGGGGACAATCAATCATTTAAGGGAAAAAAAAACATAGATTTCCAGGAGTGGGTCTGGCACCCCCCTGCTGCTAGCCAGGTGAGACCTGGCAACCCTATTTCCCCCCTTTCCTAGCCCAGTGTGGAGCCTGGAGGCTTTCTGTGGCTTGCTGGAGAGGGAAAATTGTGCTGCTCACTTGGAGAAGCTCTGAGTAAGCCAGCAGAAACTTACCCCATTGCTGTTGCTCTCCAGGCAAGCCAGCACACTCTCCCCCCCACTGCTCTCTGTGAGTGACCAGCACAGTCTCCCTCCCCAACCATTACATATAGGAAGAAAGACCCACCCTCTCTCATTCTATATGTAATGGTTGAGGAAATTCTGTTTCACTGTACCTGAAGAAATGTGCTTGCACACATAGCTTATACCTTGAATAAAACTTTGTTGGTCTTAAAGGTTCCACTGGACTCAAACTTTAATCAGCAATGGTTTCACCCATTCCTCTTTTTGATATTCCCATACAAGTGTATTTCCCTCTTCATTCAGCTAGGAAAGGGCACCCTTTTACATGTATGGTAGCTCAGGCTACTCACCAGAATTGGCCAAGTTTCTGTTCTCTGTAGAAACCACAGAAAGAATAATTTTCACAGGACAATAAGGATCTTTATTTCCTTATCCTTGTTAATTGCTCCCTGTTGTTAAACTCAGGTCTCAGCAAAATAATGTAGCATTTGGGGAAAAAGATACAACCCAGTAACCCTGCACTGGAGGCTAAGGCAGAGAAGATCTCCACAGCTACCATGTATTTTCCTTTGGTGCTCAGGTAGGCTGGAACAAAAGACACCCAGACGCTGCAAAACACAAGCATACTGAAGGTGATACACTTAGCTTCATTAAAACAGTCTGGCAACTTCCTGGCAAAGAAAGCCACAGTCAAGCTTAGGATGGACAGAAGTCCCATGTAGCCCAGGACAATATAGAACATGAGGACAGATCCTTCATTACATTCTGCCACTATTTCCTCATTCATTGACTGCATGTCAAAATCTGGGAAAGGAGGAGAGGTTCCTAACCACACCATACATATGGCTGCTTGAATGAGGGAGCAGGCAAGGACAGTGGCATCGGTCATTCTTTTCCCCACCCATTTTCTCATTATGGAACCTGGTTTGATGGCCATGAAAGCAAGAACCACAGTGATGGTTTTGGCTAACACACAAGAAACAGCCACTGTGAAAATGATGCCAAAAGCAGATTGTCGGAAGAAGCAGGTCACTTTGTTTGGTTCTCCAAGGAAAAGCAAAGAGGAGAGGAAGCAGAGCAAGAGGGAGACCAGGAGAGCATAGGTGATATCTCTGTTGTTGGCCTTAACTATGGGGGTATCTTTGTGCTTAATAAAAGTTGTGAGAACCAAAGCTGTGATCAGGAAACAAGACATAGCAATGGAAGCCAAGATGATCCCTAAAGGTTCTTCATAAGACAGAAAGCTGATTGTCTTGGGCAGACATCGGTCTTGGCTTTTGCTTGGATACTGATCTTCTGGGCACTCCATACAGTGAACCATGTCTGAAAGAGAGGGAAGAGTCTACCCCTGAGTGAATACACATATAATTTAAGACCCATGCTCACCATTGTAGTGGATGAGAAACTAAGCCTGCCTTAATTGTTATGAACCATAAATGAAAATGCAGCTTTGGAAAGCACTGGGTTTGAAGATCCAGTCTACCATTACATAAGAAGAACAATGCTGGATCAGACCAAAGGCTCATCAAGTCCAGCATTCTGTTCATACAGAGGCCAACCAGCTGTCTCTAGGAAGTTGACAAGCAGGATGACTGGAAAAACTTCCTCTTACCCATCTCCCCGGCAACTTATATAAAAAAGCATACTGCATCTGGCACTGGAGGGATTAGATCATGACTAGTATCCATCATGACATTTTCAAATATTCCGTTTGCTCTAAAATTCTCTAATCTCTATTAGCACAGCATTGCAGGTAAATTGTTTAAGAGTTCACTAATATGTTACAATGGTCATCTGAAATAACCCTGACTATGAAGATCACAGTATAGTACCTACCCTTTTGCCTTGAAATCTTCCTTTTGGGGCATGGAGAACAATCATAACAGCAAAATTTCACCCCCTCTTTTTTCTTCTTCTGAAAACCAGGTTGGCAGTGTGTGTTACACTCTGACAGAGGTGGGACCTATCCAATATATGAAAGAAGTTCTAGATAAGAGCAATGAGACATGACTTTATTAACAATCTACTGCTATACTAACAAAAGTAAACCATAATGTTGATTATTAGGTCTGCAAACATCTCAAGTAATCTGAGAACCACAATGCCATGAAGAGATTTGCTTGATAAAGTGTTTCAGATGTTTTGAGCAAAATCTGAGGACCCAAGAAAAGAAATGGATTACTCAAACCAATTCCTTCTCCCTAAAAAGTGTTGTAGAGAAAGGGCTTCCAGCTCAGCACTTTTGCTAGTTTTTCTCCATGTTACCAGCTGGCGAGCCAAGAGGGTCAGGTTATGTAGCAAAGGAAAATTTTGGCCACTGAGTCATCCTGAGGCTAGAGGAGCCCTGGAATGTCTGTGCATCCATACCTGATCAAAGCTCTTTTGCCACATGATTAAGTCTTCATTAATGATCAATTTGTTTCCTTCAAGAGCTGTGGGATCCAGTCTTCCGACTCTCACCCTAAAGAGTGATTTGTTGGGGAATGCGACCAGGTTGGTGACATCAAATCCATTCTCCACTTCCCTGTAACAATTAAATGATACCCGTTCTCCTGCTGAGTTGTTAAAAAAAATGCCTTGAAGAAATGGGTGGAGCTGTTCAGGGATAGGAAATGTGTAAATAAAATTTAATTTAACACCGCGTTGGATTCTTCATCCTGAGATTTTGAAATATTTCCCCATTGTGTCACGTTTTACTCATTTCCTTCTATTCCTTGCCTGAAAACGATGGGTTTTTAGCAGTGGTAAGAGGCCGAAAATGTATACCTCCTTTATTTGGGTGGTGGTAGTGGTGCAAGATTGGTTTCTAGGTTCTTGATGCCCTGGGGAGACAGTGCCTAGGGGCACCCATCTGTCTACCACCAGGACTCCTCCATGCCTTCCTTTCTAACCCCACACACATGTCCCCCCCACTGACCTGTGCATCCCTCTCCCACTTGGAAGCCTTCCCACCACCATGCTCATTTGCTTGCACCACCGGCTCACAAGCTGGGAGTGCTGCTGCCATTGACACCAGTTACACCACCATGGTGCACCATCCGCAAGCCCTTCCTTAATGATGCTGGACAGTTGAGATCACAAGTACAGGAGAGGTGCTTGAGTTGGGGTCAGCAGCAGTAAGCCCAACCAGATGTTCTGGACTCTGGCTGCTACCCCACCTTAGTGCCTTGGCATAACATATGCTCAGTATGCAATCCCTCAGTATCTTCGGATCCCTTAAATGGTTATATGTGGCATCAAAGACTTATTTGTGAGGCCTTAGGGAGTCCCTGCCAGTTGGAGAAGGCAGATTACTGATGCCAATAGAACAAGGGTTGGGTAACTATAGTAATAATAATAAGAGATTGGATTTATACCCCACCCTTCACTACCTGAAGGAGTCTCAGAGCGTCTTACAATCTCCTTCCCCTCCCCACAGCAGATACCCTGTGAGGTAGGCCAGGCTGAGAGAGCTCTTTCAAGGACTGCTCTTTCCAGAACAGCTCCAAGAGAGCTGTGACTGACCCAAGGTCACACCAGCAGCTGCATGTGGAGGAGTGGAGAATCAAACCCGGTTCTCCCAGATTAGAGTCTGCACTCCTAACCACTGCACCAATCTGGCTCTCTAAGAGAGCTCACACATTTTTTACAGGCTTGAAGTCTGGAGAGAATCATGAGCCCACAAAACATTGTCCATGGACAATGTGTACAACAACATTCCACATGTTGTTCGTGGTGGAACATGGAGGATGTTGCCTCACCTTGTATTAATCTGTTCACTGAATAGCATAACAAAGCATAGCGTAACAACATTACCTGCCAAGGCTGAAGATCTTGAAAGCCTGCTCTTTTGCTGCTCCTTCTTGCTCTAAGGTTGGATCTAGAGGAGTACATGTTATGCAAAGCATGTGCCACAGCATAGGCAGCATTATAGATGCTATAACTGTGGCCACTCATGTGCATTTCAAAAACTGGTGTGGGGAGACCTTCCAGCTTCTCCTCGCCACTACAAGCACCATCAACCTTTGTGGTATCCTTGTAGTTCACAAATGTGCAGTCAAATGCTCGCTCCCAGAACGACTTCAAAAACCCGTTTCCTTCTTCCCCGTAAAGTTTTATGCCTTGAAGAAATGTACGGAAACCCTGAAGTTCGTTTGAGTGAATTGTGAAGGAGATTGCACCATGGAAGAACTGAAAGTGCCAACTTCTTTGAACTCCCGTCAGGGCAAAATTAATTTGGCTTGTGAAAATCCACACTTTGCCAAATATTTTAGGACATGGATGATTTCGCATAAAATAGTAAGTGTTCAACAGAATAATTGTCCTTGAATCTCCGTAGAGTATCAAAGTACTGACTTGGCTGTTTGTAAGAAATGTCTCTACATTTTGGATGAAATCATATAATTGGTCCCAAGCATCCCATTTTACTTTTTGAATCAGTCTTGCTGTGAAAGCCAAACAGATTCCATTCTGGGAAAGCAATGGCTCCAAAGTTTGCAAGAATTGTTCTCCACTGTGATCATCAGCCACCAGGAGGCCCACCCATGTCCATCGGAAATGGTGAAGCAACTGAAGAATCCCAGTGTAGTGATGGGCTTCATTTGGGACCATACGGTAAAAGAGGAATTCTTTTGCATCACTCTCCTCCAAGGCAAATGAACCATATGTGAACTAAGAGGAAATGCACAGAATATGCTAAAAATGAGTTAGGAGGATCCCACTCATTATTAGAAATGCTACAACAAACTAGAACAGACAATTAAACACAGACAGCACAAGCAGGTTTCCACGGGGAAACTTGAAAGAACAGGGGAGAGAGTGCCTAGGCAGAGATGTGCCTGATAGCGGTGTTAAGCCTACCAGAACAGTGTGCCATTGTTTCTACCACGAAGGATCATCGCAGTTAGCATTTCTGTTCATAGAAGTGCCACGTCCTCCAACAACTGTATCATTTGAGGAGACCTTTTAAAAATTTTGCACAGCCACAGGTTTAGTTCCTGGGATCACGTTCCTGGGATCCCAGATCACCGCAGACTGTGACAGAAGCCATGAAATTAAAAGATGCCTTCTCCTTGGGAGGAGAGCGATGGCGAACCTAAACAGCATGATAAAAAGTAGAGACATCACCCTGTCAACAAAAGTCAGCATGGTCAAAGCAATGGTATTCCCAGTAGTCATGTATGGCTGCGAGAGTTGGACTATAAGGAAGGCCGAGCACCGAAAAATAGATTCTTTTGAACTATGGTGCTGGAGAAGACTCTTGAGAGTCCCTTGGACCGCAAGGAGATCGAAGCAGTATATCCTAAAAGAAATCAACCCTGACTGTTCCCTGGAAGGCCAGATAATGAAACTGAAGCTCAAATACTTTGGCCACCAAATGAGAAGGGAGCACTCACTGGAGAAGACCCTGATGCTGGGAAAGATTGAAGGTCAAAGAAGATGGGGATGGCAAAGGATGAGATGGTTAGACAGTGTCATAGATGCAACGAACATGAAATTGAGCAAACTTCAGAGGACGGCGGAAGACAGGAGGGCCTGGCGAGATCTTGTCCATGGGGTCGCGAAGAGTCGGACTCGACTGTGCGACTGAACAACAGGTTTAGTTTCTTACCTGACTTCCCAGATGGTCTGGCCACATGGACTTATGGATATATATCCACATGGATATATAAGAATTGCACTGTTTTTATCTGATGTGTTTTAACTGTTTTTAATTATTTGTATATTATATTTGATGGAACCTGCAATGAGCCCATGATGTTGGGAGGGTGGGATACAAATCCGATAAAATAAAAATGAATAAAATAAAAGCTGTGGCCAAACAACCTCAAGACTAGACTATTGGAATGCACCTTTCATAGTTCTGCTCTGGAAGACAACTTGGAAACTTCAGGTGGTACAGAATGCTATCAGGACCTGGGATGATTCTGCGTGTTACACCTGTTCTGCAGTTATTCCATTGGTTATCAAATAATTCCCGGGTTCAGTTCAAGGTGATGGTTATGACGCATAAAGTCTGTCATGGCCTAGGACCCACTTATGTGAGAAAGTGAGGGGAAATCCCCACCCACCTCCAAATCTGGCTGTGCAAGTTAAACATTTATATATGTCTAATATGGGGAATCTTTTTTCCTGTCTAAAATTTGCCAGGATGCTGCCCTGGATTACTGGTACAACCTCTTAATAAATCCATCTCTATTAGATGGGGGAAGCATTAAGAGTATAATTACATTTCCTATTGAAACCAGAGTCCATCTTGAGTAGAGCAAAGATTCCCGATTGGTATAAGAACTACAATTTCAGTAGGGTAGCCATGTTGGTAGCCATGTTAGTCTGGCGTGGCAAAAAGAGAACAAAAGTCCAGTTGCAACATGCAGACTAACCACATTTATTCCAGTATGAGCTTTCATGAGACAGAAAGAACTGCTTTACCTCATTTGAAAAATGGTTCTGCCAAAGCTGTGGTTGAAATTCCAAGAGACTGGTCATGGGAATCAACCCATCTCAAAACATGTTCTGCCACCCTGTCATTCCATCCCATCCCCCCCTCAGGTTGGTGAATTTGTTCTTTCCAAATCTGAAACAGCTTTAGCTTTGTCAATCACACCACTCCCTCCTTCTGAACCATAAAGCCTTTCCCAGAATGACAAGGGAAGACAGAATTCCTCATGTGCTCTTAAAAGATACCCACTTCCCCCTGTATGTATCCACCTGTGGAATCTTGGTGAGATCCAAGATGTTTGCCATATGCAAGGAGCTCTCACGGTTAATACCCCCGATGACAGCAATGACATTTTTCTGGATGTCACACTTGTAGTTAGGGACAAAATGGTGTGATTTGAAAAGCAGCTCCAGAGTGGTCTGATAGGTCAACCTTTCATCATGGTAGTTCTCATAGATGTGGAACCCAAAAGTGACATTGGGCAAGATGCTGGGGTTCTCGTTGATCTCCTTTACAGCAAAGGCCAAGGCCAGGATGTGCTGGTAGAACTTCATAATCATTCTGTAAACAGAATTGAAGGATTTTAAAGAAGATAATTCAAAATTCACTTTTTATGGATCTACTCTCACTCTGATTTGCTGAATGTCATGGAAAGGTGTTTTAGACGATAATTGCTTATTGGTTCTGCTGATCCACCTCCCCATTAGACCCTCCCCCGAACCATTTTTGCTGTATCAGAACACTGGTATTTGGTGGGGTGCCTTAATATACTTATGACCATCTTTTGAACTGATATCCAACCAGATGTAAAGGTAAAGGTTCCCTTGCACGAAAGCCAGTCGAGTCCGACTCTAGGGTTGCGGTGCTCATCTCCGTTTCAAATGCTGGGGTTCTCGTTGATCTCCTTTACAGCAAAGGCCAAGGCCAGGATGTGCTGGTAGAACTTCATAATCATTCTGTAAACAGAATTGAAGGATTTTAAAGAAGATAATTCAAAATTCACTTTTTATGGATCTACTCTCACTCTGATTTGCTGAATGTCATGGAAAGGTGTTTTAGACGATAATTGCTTATTGGTTCTGCTGATCCACCTCCCCATTAGACCCTCCCCCGAACCATTTTTGCTGTATCAGAACACTGGTATTTGGTGGGGTGCCTTAACATTCTTATGACCATCTTTTGAACTGATATCCAACCAGGTGTACTCTCTCCCCAAAAAAGCAAGCTTTGCTATTATGGCTTAAGAGCTACAAACTTAATTGTCTTTGCCTGGTTAAATGGCACCTGAGATGGGAGTAATGTTCTCTCTCGGTTTCTTGACATTCAGCTTCCCCCCCCTTCCCCAAACTGCAAAATCCAAATTAAATCAAGGGAAGTGCACTCACCTGGATGGCCCAGGTGACCCCAATCTCATCAGATCTCAGAAGCTAAGCAGGGTCAGCCCTGATTATTGCTTGAATGTGAGGCCACCGAGATGTCTGGGGTTGCTATGTACGCTTCTTGCCTTGAAAGCCCTATGCGGTTGTCAGAAGTCAGCTCTGACTTGATGGCACTTTCCACCACCACCACCGTAAGGAAAATACGGAGACGATTCACTAGTATGGCTAGGCTAAGCCCCCCGCCAAGTCACAAATGTCTCAGAACATAAGAATATAAGAGATGCCAATGTTGGATCAGGCCAAAGGCCCATCCAGTCCAACACTCTGTATCACACAGTGGCAAGAAATACCAGTGCCATCAGGAGGTCCACCAGTGGGGCCAGGACATTAGAAGCCCTCCCACTGTTGACCCCCCCAAGCACCAAGAAGACAGAGCATCACTTGCCCCAGAGCCCCTAGCTATACCTTGTGGCTAATAGCCACTGATGGACCTCTGCTCCATATGCTTATCTAATTCCCTTTTGAAGCCGTCCATGCTTGTAGCACCCACCACTTCCTGTGGCAGTGAATTCCAAGTGTTAATCACTCTTTGGGTGAAGAATCAAATGACTTATGGTGACCACATAGGGTTATCAAAACAGAAACCATTCAGAGGTGGTTTGCTGTTGCTGAGACCCAGCTTGGACTGATTCTGCATTGGCTCTTCCCTCCATAGTTTTACTAAATCCACATTGGAATGGGATGCCAGATGCAGAATCACCCTTGGTGTGGTGGGTTTGATTCCCCACTTCTCCACATACAGCCAGCTGGGTGACCTCGAGTCAGTCATAGCTCTCTCAGATCTCTCTCAGCCCCACCTACCTCACAGGGTGTCTGTTTTGGGGAAAGGAAGGGAAGAACATTGTAATCCGCTCTGAGACGCTGAATGAAGGGCAAGGTATAAATCCAAATCCAAGAACTAACCATGGCCAAACCTGTTTAGTTAAGAAATCGGATGAGATCAGGCTAGCCTGGGCTATTCAGGTCAGGGTAAGCTAAACTAGGTTTTGCTAAAAGAACTAACTATACTTTCCCGTAAGAAACCCTAAGACCTTCTTCATCTTACATTTTATCCCGTGCATTTCATCCCCCCTGGCCTTGCTTTTATTTTCCCCATACATTCTACATAAAAGTCTACCTCGTGAAAAGCCAATATGTTAAGAACATAAGAACATAAGAGACGGCAATGTCGGATCAGGCCAAAGGCCCATCCAGTCCAACACTCTGTGTCACACAGTGGCCAGAAATACCAGGTGCCATCAGGAGGTCCACCAGTGGGGCCAGGACATTAGAAGCCCTCCCACTGTTGATCTCCCCCCCCAAGCACCAAGAAGACAGAGCCCCTATCTATCCCTTGTGGCTAATAGCCACTGATGGACCTCTGCTCCATATGCTTATCTAATTCCCTTTTGAAGCCGTCCATGCTTGTAGCCGCCACCACTTCCTGTGGCAGTGAATTCCATGTGTTAATCACTCTTTGGGTGAAGAAGTACTTCCTTTTATCTGTTCTAACCCAACCGCTCAGCAGTTCAATCTGATGAAGCTGGATCTAATTCACAGAAGGTTATGCTGGAATCAAATATTGTTAATCTTTAAGTAGCAGCCTGAATAACCCTGACTAGTCTGCTCTCATCAGAGCTTGGTAGCTAAGCAGGCTTGGCCCTGGTTAGTATTTGGATGGGAGACCACCAAGAATGTCCAGGGTTGCTGTGCAGAGGAAGATAATGGAAAACCACTTCTGCTCATCTCTTGCCTTGAAGACCCCACCATCCTGGGGGTGCCATGAGGTGGCTGCAACTTGCTGTCCCACTATTTGTTGTTGTTGCTATTATTACAGGTGCCACAGGGCTACCCCTCTGGAAGCACGTGGTTAAGTCCTTGACCATTGTGAGATGGACGGAAACCACAATTAGGGCTTGTGACCTAGCCATGCTGACATAATGCAGGGTGGGGGAGAAGACTTACTCTGGAGCTTTAAACAAGTCCCATGATGGAAGTTCTTTGAAAGATGTTTCATGGTAGTGATAAACGAACTGAGAAATTACCCCACCGATTAGGAGGTCCCCTGACTGATACCACTGATGTGGGACAGGGAGCGGGTTGGTTACAGGATACCTTGCACCATGTATTTGGTACATAACTGGAGACAGCAGCAGCAGCAACATGATAAGCCCCATCATCCTGGAAGGGAAGCTCCTCTCTGGGCACAGCATCTTTTCTGTCAGCCTGCAGCATCGCCCTGACTTAAAAAGGTGAAGAACTCTGTTAGTAGAAAAAGAAGAGAAGAGATTATACCCTGCCCTTCACTACCCAAAGGTGTCTCAGAGCAGCTTACAAACTCCTCTCCCTTCCCCTCCCCACAACAGACACCCTGTGAGGTAGGTGGGGCTGAGAGAGCTCTTGACAGAAACTGCTCTTTTTCAAGAACAGCTCTTATCAGAACTACGGCTTGCCCAAGGTCATCCAGTCAGGTGCAAGTGGAGGAGTTTGGAATCAAACCCGGTTGTCCCAGAGTCCACGCACTTAACCACTACACCAAACTGGCCAAATGAGAAAAAAAAGTCTTCTTTTTTACTTCAACCTGGTGACAAACGCTTGCCTTGAATACCAGGGCAGTTTGCAATATCTCTCACAACGAATCTGAATCTTGTTAACGCAATCTGCTAAAGAGTGAACAGACAGAGCCCTGTCTAGTCTTATCCACCTGCTTTCTCTAGCAGAGGAAGTCATATATACATAAAATAACTTGTAAACATTATGTTGATGGGTTTCTACCACCTTCTGCAAAGCCACTATAGTTTAGAGCAACTGAAAAAAAAATTACAATGATTCGGATAATTCCAGGGGGAGATAATTGCCTCTGCCAAAGTTTCCTCTGAGCAGCATCATTATTATTTTTAAAAATAGTCTTTTTAAATTTTTGACTGGTAACAACTCCTTCTCCCTAATGGGATGGTAGAAAGTAATGGGGCTGAATTTTGTATGGTGAAAGACACTAACTAGACAATTAGACTGAAGCAAAAACATTCAGTTGCTTTAGAATGGGGGAGAAATGAAGTTTTAAATGTTTGAAAGAATTCCACTACCCAGTTAAGACATGCATTAAATTCCAAGCTATTCAAACCCTTAGGTCTCATTTCTTGGTATAATTTTTGAAATTACTGTAACGAGGAAGGTATATCCTTCTGTATTTTCTCTGGCACCTATTCATACTGTTTCCATGAAGCATGGGGCAGTGAGGAGGGAATGGAAGGGTCAGAGGGGACAGGCATGACTCAGCAGATATGTATCTGGTATGGAAGTTGTCCAACCAGAAGAGTTTCCAGTATATGTGATGGGACTGGACTCTTCAGACTGGAGAATCTGTGCTCAGAGTTTGTGCAAACATTTCAGTACCTTGCTGGATTTCACAAGATGTGGATATTCGCATCTCTTCTCAAGTCTGCTTTCCAAGGTGAATTTGCCGCAGGAGAGCCACGGGTGGTGGGCGGATTATCGGGGCGTGATCACACTGCAACATCTGGCAAGTGGAGCGCACCATGGCCAACCCGTGGCATACCGCCGAAAAAGTGCAATAAAAAACAGTACCTCGTATGTAGTGGCAAACGGTTTGCCACGGGCTGCCTCCGGACTCCTGCAGTATTATTGCGCCGGCCTCTCATTAATGCGCAGGCAGGGAGGACAGGACTCGTGGTTTGCCAGTGACGCATCGGATTGCATTCTGGTGGCTCTCCCCCCCCCCCTGTGTTATCTGGCCCGTGTGACATTTCATTTCTTTCATTTTTTTATTTCCCCCCGTATTGATGTTAATATACTTTATGATAGTATCATGAACATTTTAAAGTGGTGTGATTGGTCAATACCAATCACACCACTTTAAAATATTCATGATAGAATGTGTCCCACATGTACCAAAGGATGTGAATCTGCCCCACATCCCAAGATGCTAGACCTTTCCAAGGAGTTCAGCTTATTACTTAGGAACATCAGAATTTAGGGGTCCAGGAATCTCCATCCTAGAAACAAATCATAAAATGGACAAGGAATTCAATGTCCAGAGGTTATTCTTGAGATGGGAAGATTTCCAGCTGGAAAGAAGGTCTACTGAGCAGATGCTTTACCAATATGTGGTTAAACTAGTC